TATTAATACGCGAGTGATGAATAATTGTCTTATGATCAAATGGTGGTGGAAGATCATGACTCTTGAGGAACTGCCACCCTGGCTCTCTATCCTAAAAGCTAAATATTTCCCCTCCTCGAGTCCTATGTTCGCGCCGGCTGCGGGTGGGTCGCAATTTTGGCATCAACTGGTTAAAGTCCGGCCGATCTTTCGGTCCCTTGTAAAATTTGTAGTTAGGAACGGTAAGTCTACGCGGTTTTGGCTTGATTGGTGGGTCGGGGACTCCTCGCTGGCTGTTGCTTTTCCGGTTCTATTTTCATATTGCGATGATACTGAGGTTTCTATCTTTGAGCTCTCGGCTAGGGGTTGGGTTCTGGATTTTCGTCGTTCTCTTTCTCCTGAAGAGTTGGAAGATTGGCAGCGCCTTACTACTTGCTTCCCCCTGCTCTCGGAGGAAGAGGATGCCGTGGTGTGGCCCCTCTCCTCTTCGGGGCGTTTTTCGGTTAAATCTGCTTACTCCAAGCTTATCCCTGGGGGGCGCCCGGTCAAGTTTAAGCATGTCTGGTCGGCTCGAATTCCTCCTAAGATCAAGATATTTCTCTGGCAAGCTGTCCGGAGTAAGCTTCCGGCGGCCGATCAGATTAAGAAAAGAAACGGGCCGGGGTCCGACAGGTGTGTGCTTTGTGGGGCACTGGAGAACACCGAGCATATTTTCTTTCACTGCTCCTTAGCTAAACTTATGTGGAGTTGCATCAGACTCTGGTTACATGTAAATTGGTCCCCTTCCTCCTTTGAAGACCTGAGGCATTATGTCAATCTTCTTTCTGGCCATTCTAAAAGAGTCTTCTTAGTTGGATGGGCTGCGATTGGCTGGTCGTTGTGGACTACTAGGAATAAGTTCTCGATTGAACATATTTTTCCGGCTAATCCTGTCAATTGCTTATTTAAAACCAATGGTTTCTTGCAGCAGTGGAGATTATTGACTAAAGAAGGGGATCTCCAGGCCTTCGACGCCATGCTATCCAAGATGAAATCTACGGCGTCTGGGCTTCTTCGGCTTTCTTTGAGGACGGCTTCCTGAATGATCTTTTGGTGTCTGGTTTAGGCTGGCATGCGTGCCATGTAAGGCCGCTGGCCTTGTAATGATACTTTATCTTCTGCGCGTGATACTTTGTTGGGTGCGGTTGTTGGTCATATACTCTGCCTGGTGGCTTTATCTATAAAGTCGGGCTCTCGCCTTTTTTCTAAAAAAAAAAGAAGAGAAGTCACCTAAGCTACAATTTTTTAACTTTCCTCCTTCACATCCATATGATTAAGGCTAAAATAATTTGAATTAATTTGCAAATTACAAATCTATTGTATACATTTACAAAAAACACATACAAACAAAATTATGATGCAATAAAATTAATTTTAAATTTATTTACATGAACAGTAACCACACACATAACTTTCTACAGTAGATAAATACATTATTCGCTACGGTGCCTCTGACTTTCCTTCTTTGTTTTACACTGGATTGCAATGTAGCTTAGGTGACTTTCCTCCTTAATGTTAAAGGATCCACTTCCGGACACGGCGAGACCTTTTCGTGGCCCGCACATGTGGTGGGCATCAGAAACGGATAATGGGATTGGGAGCAGGGGAGGCTTCGGTGCCGTCCACACCTCAGATCAGATATAAAGCTGGCGCCACAACATGATGATGATGAGCGAGGCGGTTAGGCATCCTTCGCGTCCCGCGGCTCCCATGCTCTGTCCATCGTCCATGCTCACCACACATGCATGTGCGCGCCTGCCCGCCTCTCGAGTGCGCATGAGAGACACAGTAGGATCTTGCATTCCCTGCCCTGCCCACGATCCGGATAGGGTCTGGGACTTGACATGACATGGAGTGCGGAAGCTTGCGCTACATGATGCAAGCCAGACATGCATGTTGTCCGTGGAGCACTTTGCAGCACGCATATCCTATCCCCGAAGCATTGTGCCTTCGTGTTCTTGATCAATGCATTCTTGCCTCGCCTTTTCTAGGGGACGGGAATAGACTCTACGGTCTGTACTAAAGGGTTTTAGGGCCGGTGTTGTGAACGCAAGGATTGCCCTAGGACGGAGCCAAGGGGAACAGCATTGGATGTGCAATGTGTTGTTGTAGCACTATGTAAACTGGAAGCATTAGCTTCAATGTCTCTCGATTCATCATCCGTCCGTCCGTCCATCTTGGATTGGAATCCTCGGAGCCAAAGCATGCATGCGATGCCGCAGCTGGGATCTCGTTGTTTTCTGCCGAAAACGAGGATCGCATGCCTCTCATGTTCCGGTGAGAAGCTCTCCCTAGAGTCTTGAGCCAGACAGTTTTCAGGGCTAGTGTTGTGGATGGTGTACCGTGAAGCCGAATTTCTCGCCGTTGATCGAACGAAAGCAACGGCTGGGGCTTGGATAGACTCTTGTCAGTGCATCGCACCATGACGGGACAGGGAGTACAGTTTTCCTTTCGTGCGGTACGTACGTTGACCCCAGCCGGTCGAGAGCACCAGCTAGCTGCTGCTGCGCTCCAAAACTGAACGCCCAACGGTATGCGTGTCTCCGGTATAAATACTCGTACCACCGTAATTTTTCTTTTTGGCGGGAGACTCGTAGCGTACCATGCATGCATCATCAATCCCTGCAAAAGTGTGCGTACTGTAGCCTGTAGGAGTGCATGCACCCGCGCACACAGACGCTGGCATAGTTTTTACGGTGGATGTTACGCCGGCAGCCTCTTGGTCCTCGACACGAGCACCGGCTAGCTCAGCTGCCATCGGCGGGGTTAAATGACAGCGCTCTCATCGACTGTTGGATAAGACCAGCCAACGGCGGCTAAATTTTATGTTTTTGACTCCTTTCTGAAACTTAACCGAAATCTGATCCTAATCTGAAAAAATTTCAGGATCTGATTCTTTTACTACAGCCAAGACTCATGACTGTAGGATATAATAGCATACCGTCAAAGTCCCTGACGATAGGGTCTGTCACATTTGAACAGGACCCATGCACGTTACGGTACCGGCCACCAGCAAAACTTCCACGGAATTCGTCGTACTGCTGTGCTGTGCCACATGGCCATGGGGGGCCTGACGCGAACGGAGCGCGTCAGCGCAGCCGAGCAGCACTCCACCCCACGATCAATAGCCTCAAAGGCACAGACAGATCCCTCCCGGCGCGGCACTTGGTACGGAGGGAGACGACGAGCAGAGCAGCAGCACCCGGTCTGAGACGACGGCCTCTCTCGCCCGCCGCGTGCGTGCCCGGCTGGCGCACTGTCATCGCGCGCCGGGCGCGAGCAGGCAGCGGTACAGCCGGCCTAGCTGTCGCGCGATGGCGATGGCGACGGCGACGGCGCCGCGCCCTGACCGGACATCCTTTCCGGGCCGCCGGGGTCGGCGTCCCCGGTTGCGGAAACATCCGTCCGTCCCCGTCCCGTCCCGCCCCACCCCACCCCACCCCACGGCGCCAAAGCCCAACCCGGTAGCATCTCGGCCACCCTGGTTCTGAAAGCGACGGGCGGCGGCCATTCTCATGCTCCGTCGTACCGCAGGAACGGACCAGGAGCCGAGAGATATCCCCGTGCTTTGGCCCGCCTCATGCAACGCCGGCGCTGACGCAGCGCTGGTGCCACGAGATGATGCTCATGGCCTCAACGATCCATTGCCTACGTGTAGACGTGTAGACTGTGCAGTGGGATGTGCCTCCACGCCATGGCTTGAGATTGACCGGCAGTATGTACCGATATTGCAATACGGCCCTTCTGCTCTGTTTGCTTTACTCTAACTGTGTGTGAGAGAGAGAGAGAATCTGTTTGTTTGAATAAATTACTGTTATTACTGCACTCTAGTGGAACCGTGCGCAGTCAGACACGGGCGAGTACTCGCCGCGCACATGCCGTTTTTCGCTGCAATAAAGAATTCAGCAGAGATCTTGCGCCCCTGAACCACATAGTCTGTCGACGAGGACGACGAGCTGCTCGTAATCACTCGCTATAAAGCGCTCTGCGCGATCTCTCTCCTCCCGTCGAGAGATCTGGCTTGGCTTCTGGCCGGCTGGCTGGATGGGGCCTAATCCAAATTTGAGTGCCCACGTGTGGATGTGCCCTGCGCGCCACTCCCTTTTGTAACCATCAAACACGACAAAAATAAGAGATGTGCTAGTACGTGGACGCCCGTGGAATCGGAACGATTGGTAGTATTAGTCTAGCTAAGCTTTGCTGTTTAGTCCTAGTTGTTTGTAGTTACTCAGTTTTTTTACCTTGCAGTTAGAGACTTTCTTTTATGAAACAAAAGATCTGCCTCATCCATTATATAAGAGGAGGGTAGAGTGTGGTGTTTTTACAAGTGCCCCTGCAAAACGGCATGACAATCACTCTCGTACAACGATACGCCCTAGTTGTAGTTAGAGACTGATGGACAGGGTAATGGGCTAGTGGCCTAGCGGGTGGCGATACTTGGTCGACATTGATCATACGTGTTGCTTGCTCTGAGCCTTCTATTCAAAATATCTACTAGTTCTAGAAGAGAAGAGAGGAGTAGATGCTTCCACTCATCGGCTCAAAGATGGTGGTGTCGCCTGGACGGAGAGGTTGACTTGAACGCTTGCAAACCTCAGAGATAGCTAGGGTGCCATCATGACAGTGCAGCAGACGCATGTGGCGCAAAAAAGATCTCACACTCGCTCGTGTTTTCCTTTCTTTCCCCTCAGGTTTTTGTTTCCCACTGCGCTGACAGCTCAAAAGCGGGGAGCAACGACAGGCACTGCAGCCATGGTGAGGTGAACACAGGACACACGCGGAAAAGCTACTGGCTACCAAAACTAATCTGAAGAAACTCAACCTCAAGACATGAAAAAAAGACTCTCGCAACGCAACGCAAACTCATTCTATTCTATTCTTCTCCTAGCTGCCCGTCTCCTCCCGGCTTCCGAGGACGGAACGGAGCAGAGCAGCCGCATAACGCCCTACGGCCTGGCCAGCACCAACAGCGACGGCCGGCTTCACCACCTCTCCATCTTGTCACCCCCGTCCCTGCACGCCTGCTGCAGAAATCCCAAAAATATTTGAGTTTCTACGGCTGAAATGCTACTTGTGTTCGTGGGAGCACGGAAAAAGGTCGGGAGAATGGTCACCTGTCGTGTGGGCATCGGCTTGGTGGCAGGGGCAGGGGAGTACTGCGCATGCAGGTAGCTGCCCAGAGGAGATCCGCTCAAGGGAGACTGCAATGGCAGAAGAAGATATGCTACGCGAATTAGCTGCCAGTATAAGCAGGAAATTAGTTATGCGACGTTAATGCGGCTTGACGTCGGTGCGCACCTCGAAGCCCGCCGGGGAGAAGAAGGTGGAGGAGAAGTCGGCCGCATTGCTGTACTCCATCGTCGACCCGGCCGCCCCGCCGTAGCCATTGGCCTCCGGCGAGCCCATCACCTGCTGGATGGCGAATGCGTGTTAGAAGAACTCGGTGGAACGGAACGCAGATTGGACTGCACAAGCACGTACCTTGGAGTGCTTGAAGAAGGCCGGCGAGCTGGCCGTGTCCTCGAGCAGAGTCGACGCGACGGCGGCGGCCATCTTGCCCTGCCGCCTCGCGGCCGCAGGCTCCGCCGTCCTACGCCTCCTCTCCGCGCGCTGTGCATTGGCCTGCGCGGCGGCGCCTTCGTCGGAGCCGGCCGAGTACTGGTGGCGCGGGCCGGAGGAGGCGTCGGAGATCATGGACAGGTCGTCCTCCTCCGCGTCCTCGGAGCGGCAGGACGAGCGGCACCGCTGCCCCTTGCCGCCGTGGAGCCGCGCGGTGGAGCCGCCGCGGGAGTAGGAGGAGGTGTCGTCGTCCAGGTAGGTGGTCCAGCCGGACTGGCAGCCGCTGCTGCACTCGGAGCTCGCCGCCGCGCCCATGACCGCGTCCTCCCCCGTCGTCATCCCGTGCGCTCGCTATCTAATACTACGCTGATGTGATGAGCTGCTCCCGACCTAGCAGCAGTACGCGAGTGTTAGCGCGTACTAAGTAGAGCGGGCGGAGGGGGGCGGCCCCACGCGTCTGTGGCGGGAGTGAACCTTGGTCTCAGTGACAGGTGGGGGGAGGGGAGGGGAGGCATCACGTGGAGTACAGCGAGGCGGCAACGGGGGGTGGACGGGACGGGCCGTCATTGCCCGGGCGCGGTACTGTTGCGTGGTCCGCGGCGGCCGAATCATTCCTCTTCCCGTGACGGGGAGCAAACGCGACGCGCGCCGGCTTAAACTCGTCTGGCTCCGGCCGCCCGTCCGATCTCGGTCCTCCGGTTTCTCTCTCCCGCCGGCGGACGCGCGACGTTCGTCGATCCCTGCGCGCGGCGCGTTGTGGATGCTGGGCTGGGTCGGGCGGCGGGCCGGATTGCACAGTGCTGGTGTTGTCAGGCGCCGCACGGAAGCACCGAAGCACGGTGGATGTTGCCTTGTTTCGTCTCACCCGCGCGGACGGGTGCAAACTGTCCCATTTTTTTTCAGTGTTGTTAGTCTCGGTCGACCGCGACTTCGTTAAGTGTTAGTCCATACTATCATAAAATTTACGTTGGCATCCGTGTAATTTTTATTTTCAGTTTTTTCTTTCTCTTTTGCATATTATGTCACTTGACTAAAACTTGGTTAAATCTTAGTCGACTAAGATCACATCTTTTTTGACCTTTTGCAAATGATTAGAATGAATTAACACCAATTTAAGACATTTTTACGATATGCCATTTTTAGTGATCATCCATCGTGTACATTGTGTTGCACGCGAGACACCATGGTCAACGCCCATGTGTTGGTCGCCGCTCGTGTACCGTCCAACGTTGCACCATAAGAAACGCCAGGGATCATAGCGTTTCACCCTGTCTAAAAATATCGTACACCATGGCGTTTCGATACTGAAGGAGACACCATAGGCTGCGATGCAACGTGACATAGACACAATAACCTGCAGTTGGCCGCGTGTGGAGTCCACTCTACTTGCAGCCCCCAATCGGCCGCCTACCTAGGCGGTGAAGAACATAGTGAAGGTCCCTCTCTTCCCACCTCAAGACCTCCTCAAATCCCCATCAAATTGAGATTTTTTTCGTGGATCTTTTCCCTCCCCTTGTTGCTTTAGGTGCTCTTCACGTTAGGACCAGTGGAAGGTCCTGAAAGATTCTGAAATATTCCAAAACCTCCACGGGCTGCCCTTTTGGTTGAGCCCAAGTGTGGGGCCGCCACATGGGCCTAATTGCCCAAGAGTCCCCCCCCCCCCTATCTTGGAGGCCGAACCTCCTTGTGCGCCTAGGGACTCTCCCTCTTGACTTCACGTTTGGCTATGTCCAAAAGACCTATGCTATTCCGAAAAAAAAAACCTTATCGGTCATGAAATTTCTTTCAACCAAGTGTCCATTTAAGTTATCATTAATCGTGGCTAGAAAGTATGAAAATGTTATTCCAAGTCTCAATGAGGTCTTCCTGTGGCATGTGCCAAGGTTTTTGTGACTACGAAAGGGTCACAAAAGTTATTAAAAGCTCTTGGGTTCGAACAATAGCGGTCAGATGACACAGAACTCCTTCTGGCTGTGCATGAGAGTAAGCTGATGTATGGTCACCTGAAGCCCCTATATGCGAAAGTACCATAGCAAAACTTGTGATGTCTTTCTCCCTATTGCAATGTTAGTGTTCTAGTCGTCTAAGTGTCCCAGTTTTCACTGTCGGGAGGAGTGATGATTTGGTTTGTTGTACGTTTGGTTTTGCTTTTGTTTGTTAGGTTGATGTTGTCCCTTGATTGGTCGATGAACTATGTATGGCTTGTTTGCCCTTTTCCCCTATTTATGTATTGGTTCGGAAAAACCTGTGATTTCTTCTTTTTTGGGAATGCCCAATTCGACTCAAAAATGAGTTTTTGTCACAGGGCGACTCTAGTTGAAATAAATCCCGAGTCAGAAATGACTACATAATTCATTACTTGGACTAAACAATGTAAAAAAAACTTCGATATTTGTTGACAGATGGGGTAATGAAAGATTTAATTTTTGCTACGTGTAAATTGCCTGGATTATTTTTTGGGTAAGTCACTTTTTCTTCTACTAGTACTTGATTTTTTTTTCAAAAGTACTTTCCTCAGCTCGAGCTCAAATGCTCCTGGTGTCAACAGTAAAATCAAAACAAATAGAAAATAATATAAAAAACTTCTATTTTTTTGTGAAAACTTTAGGAAATGTTTGTAGTGTTCACAAAGTTTAATCATGAAATCCACATTGGTGAAAATCATGGTAAAAAAATCTCCAAAATACATTCAAAAGTATACTTTTCGGAGCATCAATTTGTTCGCCGAGACATCCACGAATGTGATTTCATGATAAAAGTTTTCCAGCACTCCAACATTTTTTAATGTCTGCCACAAAAAAAGCAGATTTTTGAAAATATGTTGACTTTTTTTTCAAATTTACTTTTCCATATGAGTTTATGGATAATTAAAAATATGTGCGTAAATTATACTATAGTGCAAAATTGCACTATTATATGCTTATTTTTAAAAATATTTTGACTATTTTTTTTTTCAAATTTACAATATGTGTGTAAATTATACTATAGTGCAAAAATTGCACTATTATATGCTTATTTTTGCATTCATCAAATTATGTGATTGCAGTACAAATTGTGTGCAAAAATTCTATAGTTTGTTTTCAGTTTTATTTTCTTTTCGGGGTAATACCAATGCCACTAATTCATTTCTTCTTAAGTTTTTCCCCTGAAAATCTCATTATTATACGCCTATTCTTATATATTATAAAATCCACAAGTTATGTGTAAATATATGTGCAAATTTTGTCATTTTGTGTGTTTTCTCATTTTCTTTCTTATAGTAGTATAATACCAATGCCACTAATTCATTATTTATTACTCCCTCCGTTTCTTTTTAGTCTGCATATAAGATTTGGTCAAAGTCAAACATTGTTACTTTGACTACATTTATAGAAAAAAATCAAGATTCACAATATGAAATCAATATTGTTAGATGCATCATTAATTAATTTTCATACCATATAGCTTTAGTATTATGGATGTTAATATTTTTTTCTAAAAGGTTGGTCAAACTTACAAAGTACGACTTTGACCAAAATCTTATAAGCAGACTAAAAAAAACAGAGGTAGTAGAAAACTTTGTTATTTTAATTTTCTTATTGTTTTATTTTACTGTATTCTTCATGGGTAATACCAATGCCACTAATCCATTCCTTATTAGAAAACTACTTTTTTGCAAAAAAATCCACTATTGCATGTTTATTCTTGCATACAATAAAAAGTGTGTTTTCTTTCTAATTTGTGTGCAAACTTTATCCTTATTTGCTTTAATTTGTTTCCTTCTAGAAGGGTGATCCAGTGCCACCAATTCATTCGAAGAACATGCAATACGTGGATCGACTACATATATTAGTGCTGTCGCATTTTCCATCTCTCACACATGCGAACACATGCACACACACATAGTTTTTTTTTTGACATGACACACACACATAGTTGATGTCACACACATATGAGCACACGCACACGAGCACATGGGCACGCAACACACACCCACAGATGTGCATATGCGAAGAAAAAATAGACACGCATATGTTGAACTAGCTAGCACTAGTGCAGAACCAGGCTATAGCCCCGGTTCGTAAGGCCTTTTAATGCCGGTTCGGTAACTGGCATTAAAGTGTGGGGACTAAAGGTCCCCCCCTTTAGTACCGGTTCCGTACAAATCGGCGCTAAAGGGCAACCACCTGGCACGAGGCGCGCCATGGTTTGGGGGACCTTTAGTCCCGGTTGGTAAGGATTTTATTATTTTTATTTTTGAAATAAAGATAAACAGCCCGCCTACTGGGCCGACACGGCCTGCATACGACTAGAAACCCAATCTCTAGTTGGGCCAGGATGCAGTCCCGTACGGCCCAGTAGGCCCCACAGGGCAAAAGACTTGCAATAGGCCCACAAAGGGCTGCTTAGAGAGGAGCTCGACACGGTAGCCGCGGCGGGGCTTATAAACCGGTGCGAGCTCCTCTCAACTAGCGAGGTGGGACTAAACATTGTGCACTGCGAGTGGCAGCGCACCACCCCTTTAGTATCGGTTGGAGCCACCAACCCGTACTAAAGGCCACCACCTTTAGTACCGGTTGGTGGCTCCAACCGGTACTAAAGACCCCCCCCCCCTTTAGTACCGGTTGAAGCCACCAACCCGTACTAAAGGCCACCACCTTTTTAGTACCTGTCCGTGACACGAATGGGTATTAATGAGCGCCGCCCGCCTGACCGTTGGAACCGGCACTAATGGTCACATTAGTGCCAGTTCAATTACAAACCAAGACTAATGAGTTTCACATTATACCCTTTTTCTACTAGTGTAGCTATACTGCCACGTAAGAGCATCTACGACTTCATGGAAGAAGACATCTGACTCGTCATCGGGTCCATCGGAGTGGCTGCTCGTGCTAGACATGGTAATCGAAGATCGGTAGGGGAACGAATTGAAGAAAGGGAGGAGAAGATACGGAGAGCAGAACGAAGTGAGCTAGGGTTAGCTTCGGGTGGGGATTTTGTAGGGTCGAAGTGGGGTCGTGGTGGGCCAGCATGGGCCGCCCTAACATGGCGGACACGCCCGAGCCGCCCCATATCCACCCTACATTTAGGCTGGATACGAGGGTGCCCGGTTGGGTATTTTTTTTCAACCGGTCAGCGATCGGTCCGGCCTTCCGGGAATTTAAGGGAGGTGTGAGGCGCCCGGCTGTAAATGCTCTAACACTAGTACTCTGGCTATAGCTAGCATCCAGTGCATGCCCTCCAAAAAAAATTGACGGACCCTAAAACTATATTTAGGCGACTGACATATAGCCACGGCCGAAAGATTTTACTCAATCCCGAGTGCTCTCCCGTGTCAATTATGGGGTACATAAATTGGC